AAGCATTAACGAACTAGAAAAAAGTTGTATGTTTCATCGGTGCAATACTGCACCCTGACTGGCTTGTCTCCTCCCTGTGACCCTTCTGTAAGGGGATGTCCAGTTCAGGCTGCATTTGTAAGGGCATATTTGAACTAAGACTTGAAGGAGTTGAGTGAGGAAAACACATCTGAGAAACAGAATGAGGGGCCAGTGTGTTGGAATTCAAGTGATGGATGTAGACAATTGTAGAAGAAGAGGTGAATCAGTGGAGTGACCCACAGATAAAAGGATTTGTAGGTCCTTGTAAAGCTATTGGATCCCTGGTGGCACACTTGTTAAGCATTCGACTGTCAAAAGAAAGGTCAGTGGCTCAAACCCCCCAGTCCCCCTGTGTGAGAGAGAAAGAGAGAGAGAGAGGAGGCAGTCTGCTTGCACAATGATTTATAGCCATGGAGACTCTATGAGGGCAGCTCTACTGTGTCCTACAGGGTCACTATGAGTCAGTGTCAACTTGATGGCAATGGGTTTTCAGATAACCACTGTAAGGTTTTAAGTATTGTGTGTGTTTTTTAAATCTAACAGATGCATTAGAACAGTATGAAGAACTGTGCCCTCTATTTAAATCATATTACATGATCTTTTTATTTTTCAATAGTCAACAGCATATCAAGTTCTCTTGTAGTTTAACTTAGCAGTTCATTTGGATGGGAGGCTCACATACTGTTTAAGAAAAAAAAAACTTAGGTTATGGAAATAAACAATGCTGGCCATATTCACTGAAAGGGATAACCAACTTATAATTTACACGATATCATATTATTCAATCAAAAGATTACAGGAGTGGAGGGGAACCTAAAATGTGTAAGATTCTTAAGGACATTCAAAGTACAACCTGGGGAAAAGTACATTTAGCATCACCTTTCTGTTCTTTTAGATTCCTTACAAACAAGTCAGCATACTTTAATAAAGGTATGGAAAGAGGGTACCACTGTATAAATACATATGAGGAACATGTGAGGAAACATGAGGAAAATAATTTAATTTCTGTAACCCTAAATTTAGTTTCTGTACTTTTTTATTAAACACACAAAACAGAATAGTTTCATCTTACCTGACAGAAGGCGTTTTTGTTGCTTAGAAACGTGTCTCTCAAGGAGGCGCCTCATACTTGAATCCTTGGCCACATCCAAAGCTGACTTTCCAAAGTCACTTCTGAATAATGGATCTGCGCCCTTCAGGAGAAGTAACTCTGCCACCTAGAGGAAGCGTGCTTGTGAGGGAGCTCAGACAAAAGGTTTACTGTTGGAAGTGTGACCCTGCATGCAGCTTTAGGTAACAACAAATATCTCTTTCACTAACACAGAATTTGAGTTTACTTATGATATCTCTGTACTGTATTTTTTATGAATCTGTTGCTTCTGATGCTAAAAGTATAAATCCCTTCTCTTGAAAAACAGAGAGAAGGAGGAGAAAGGGAGAGAAGGGAAAAAGAAGAAAGGAAGGGGGAATGCTGAAAGACAGGAGAAGGAAGGTAAGTTGAAGAAGAGGAGGAAACTGGAAGGAAGAAAGGAGGGGGAAAGCTGAGACAGGAATATCCGTGGTTTGCCTGTGAATGAAAGGGAGTGGTCAGATACCAAGAATTAGGATTGGGATCTGTAGTCCTAAATGGAACTTGAACAGGTGCAGGATAGCTAGTTGCTGTTGCTGCGCTGGACCTCAGACTCTCATAGAGAAACTGGTCAATCCTTAATCTGCTGCCACTTACTTCTCAAGTAAACACTTCTATGAAGCACTCCCTAACTCCATCCAAGTTGCCCTAGAGAAAAATGACTTTTGCTTTGCAAGTGATGGCAGAGTGGACTATGCACTGCTAACCACAAGGTCTGTGGTTTGAACCCACCAGCAGTTCCGTGGGAGAAAGATGACACTTTCTACTCCAGTAAAGGGTTACAGTCTCAGAAATCCACAGGGGCAGTTCCACTCTATCGAATAGGGTTACTATGAGTCAGAATTGACTCAAAGGCAGAGCGTTTTTTGTGGTTTTGCACATACATATTTTATCTCTGTGCCTAATATACCCTATATTATACCTGTTTTGCCTACTGTTTTCTTCAGGGTGAGGCCTATGTTTTCTTTTAAAAGTAATTTATTATTTTTCAATAGGAAATTAATTAGTATTATTCAAAATACAGAAGACTCGGACCAAAACTCAAACTCACTACCACCAAGTCAATGCTGACGTATAGCAACCCTCAGTTGGTTTCCAAGACTGTAACTGTTTAGGGAGGTAGAAAGCACAATCTTTCTCCCATGGAGTTGCTGCTGAAGGTTTCGAACTGTCAACCCTGTGGATTACAGCCTAATGGGTAATGACTACATCACCAGGGCTCCTCAGAAGACTCAGAAGAGGTACATAGTTTTAAAAGCCTCCCTCCTCTACCCCTGTCCTCCAGTTAATGCTAACCACCCAGTTACTCTGAAGGAGAAAAATAAGGCTGTCTACTCCTATAAAGATTTAAAGTCTCACAGAAGGGTCATAAGGAAGGAAGGAGCCAGCCGGAGTGCAATATAGCACTGATGAAACACACAAAATTCCTCTAGTTCTTTAATGCCTCCCTCCCCCGCCCCCATATCATGACCCCAGTTCTATCTTACAAATCCAGCTAAACTGGAGCATGTACATTGGTACTGATAAGAGCTCTTGACACACAGAATCCAGGACAGAGAAATACCTCAGGACCAATGACAGTAGCAATATCATAAGGGTAGGGGTAAAATGAGGGGAGAAAGGGGGAACCGATCGCAATGACTGACATACGATCCTCTCCTCCTCTCCCCCACCCCGCACTGCCGCCTAAAGGGACTAACAACGGAAATGTGGGTAAAGGGAGACAGCCGATGGTGTAAAATATAAAAATAAAAATAATTTATAAATTAAAAAAAATTAAAGTCACAGAAACCCAAAGGGGCTGTTCTACTCTGTCTTATGGGTTGCTATGAGTCAGAGTCACTCAATGGCAGTGAGTGAACAACTGAGTATGAAACTGACTGAGGAAGACCAGCCAGATGTTTAGTGAGGTACCAGAAAAAAAGACAGAAATTAATGGCTGAAACCACTGTCATCCTGAAACATTCCAAAATGACTAGGGCATGCCCAAGGCTGGTCCTCTGAGGGGCAGCTAGAGTAGAAACTTCTGAATTACTAGGCCTTGGCTGAATGTAGGTCAAACCATTCATAAACTCCCTAAACAGTGAAAGCCGTGTTCAAGCCACACCCGAACCAACAGCAAAAAGGCAATTACCGTTTTGGTTTAGAACTTGGCGACTGAGTCATCGAGATTATGCTATTTGAACAGTGATACAGAAGAATGAAGAGAAATTAAGAGACCCTCAGAGTGAGGGGGGACATCGTGAAGCAAAGACATAACAAGAATTGTGGAAGGAGAGGAGAAAGAGGAAGAGGCAGAAAATATTTTTTGAAGAAATAATGGATTAACACTTTCTAAATTGATGGAAAATATTAACTTCCCAGCTAAAAAGCTCAATTACTCCAAATAGGATAAGCACAAAGGAATATACACTCAAACATATCCCTGTCAAAATACTGAAAGTCAAAGAAAATGTTGAAATTGTAAGAGAAAAACAGTTTTTCAACAGGATTGTCAATTGGATCAATAGTTGATTTCTCATTAGGAAACAGAAGTCAGAGGCAGTGGGATGCCATAGTCAATTTGCTAAAAGAAAAAACACGGTCGTACACCCAGCACACTAGCTTTCAAAAGGGCAGGCAAACCTGCTTGTGCAGATGGCTTTCCCTACATAGTTGTGTAGAGGTAATGGAGAGAGAATTCTTAGATAAATGATTTAAAAACTGCCAAACTCCCTAAACGCTCCTTAAAAACCAGTACCACACACTCACTGCCATTGAGTCAATTCCAAATTGTAGTAATTTCGACCCACAGCAACCTTACAGGACAGGGTAGAACTACCCCTGTGGATTTTTAAGACCATAACTTGTAATTTACGAGAGTAGAAAGCCTTATCTTTCTCCCACAGAGTGGGTGGTGGCTTCAAACTGCTGACCTTGCAGTTAGCAGCCCAACATGTAACCAATACACCACCAGAGCTCCTCAGTACCATACTAAAAAGAGATATATGTCCTGTCTATACCATGGCTTACAGAAATCTTCCTCACTTCTACTGTTAGGTTTTTGTCTGCCCCCCCACCCCCAAAACTCTAAGCAGCGATTTTTGAGCTGAGTTGATCAGCCCCCTTTCCTATCCTAGGTGTTTTGAACTTAGAGCTAACTTCCCATACCTGAAATAACCAACTAGGTACAGGTTATTGTTTAAAAAGTGCCTCAGTTCTGCAATCCAGAACACAAGTGACTTCTGATATAAACCTATGTGCTGGAATTCATATTATTTAATGCTACTATTTATTAGAGTTATGACTGGCCACCTAGGATGGAATTACAGGAGTTCAACATTTTAACAAGCAATATAACTGTACTGGACCTGTATGGTGTACTGACTGGGTAACCATTAATCCCGAGAGGTTCTCATGTCTTAGGCTAACTCTGAAAGTTTCCCCAAGCCCCATAGCCCTGGAAACCTGCTCTGAGGCCTGGGCGTCATTGTGCAGCACTCTGAATGATGGAAAGGTAACTTCTAAACCTTAGAAAGCACCACAGGAGAAATGGAAGGTTTAGGAATTCTATGGGTAACAAAAAACTCTGTTCTGTACAGTTATTAAAAATGATATGTAAAACAATATCAAATTAGGCACAACAAACCCATTGTGCAGTAAAATGTATTAAAAAATCAAAGTATTTATTAATACAACAAATGAAAACTGAGTTCCTCTTGCTTGGCCCTAGAGATTTTTGACACGTATAAAACATAGTGTTTGATCTGAAAACAAAAGCATCACAGTACCTTAAAATGTCCATTCATCACAGCATCATGTAAGGGAGTGATCTGGTACATTCCTCTGATATTTACATCTGCTCCACCTTTTAATAGTTCACTTGCTACCTGATAAAATCCTCCTGCACTAGCTTCATGGAGTGCTGTCCAACCTGTCTCACAAAAACAAATGCTATGTGTTTATTTTTGGCATATTAATACTTTAGGCCTACCTTTAAATTCCAAGTTGTTTCTTAAAAAAATATTTAGAGACAATCACGTCATGAAAGTATCCTGTGTAATTTGGTGGATTCAATAATTTGACGTATCAAACTCTCAGACTCCAAACTCTATTGTGGAAACACGTAAAATAGTAAAATATCAGAACTTACTCCTCATCTCAGCAAATAAAAAGGCTGTAAGGGTGTCATTATCAGCCCCCTGAAAGTGCTAGTTGAAAGCTGTTTTTCTGAAGAGAAGGAAGTGGAGAAAAACCCTTAGCATTAGAGTGCAGGGAAGGACTATAAGGTAACTTCCTTACAGGAGACCAGTTTGCAGGAGAACACAGAAGTTAATTCAAATGTAGTTCCCTCTTTTTCCACCTTATTCATAAAAATCAACTAACCAGCCACAACTGGGTTCATGAAAAATCAGATAGATTTCTTTTTCTATTGTTAGCCAATGGTGTAAGATACATTTATTAAATTCCAGTTAAAGTGTATGACAGACATTAAGAAAATCAAACATTTTTATGTTAAAAATTTACTTCACTAGTTCTTTTGAGAGCGTTCTCCATAAACCAGGGTTTCTCAAGCTCAGCACTCCTGACCTCCTGGCTAGACTATTCTTGGTTGTTCTGAGTTGGGCAGGATGGTTAGCAGCACTCCTGGTTTCGCCGTGCTTGATGCCAGCAGCAGCCCTTGCCCACTCCGCTGAACCAACCACAAAGGTCTGTAAACATAACCACATGTCCCGTGGGGGCAAAACGTATTCTGCTGAGAACCACTGGCATGAATTGTTAGAGAAGAAGCTATGTAAAATATTACAATATTAACGCTCGCTGAGAAACATTAAAAATGTATATGATAATCCCTAGATAAAACACTAAAAATGGGTACACCAAGATAAAGAAACACTAAAAATTGACAGAAAAGGAAACTAAAATCATATGAGGTACATGGGAGACAATAAGTAAAATGGTAGTACTAAATCCAACCATTTATATTAAATACAAATGACTAGTCACCCTAATAAAATGCCAGAGACTGTAAGAATGTATATTTTAAAAAAGTAAAACTATGCTTTCTATAAGAAATACACTTTGAAATATAAAGGCACACGCTGAAAATAGAAACATATACCACAACATGAGTAAACATTAAGATGGCTAAAATGGTTACATTAAAGCTATATAAAGCAGTTCAGGACAAGGAGTCCTGGTGGTGAAGTTGTTAAGCATTCAATTGCTAAGCAAAATGTCAGCAGTTCAAACCCACCAGCTTCCCTGTGGGAGATCGATGCAGCAGTGTAGGATTCCATACACATTGCTGCCACAGGAACCACTCTTCTGTGGAATGCCACCACGCATGGCCACTCTGGTGGGCCCCATACAGGCACTCTTCGAAGGAGAAATACAGTACTCTAACCCACTCTGCCCAAACTACCTGGCCAACTTCCCGAGGAGATGATGGTAAAGAGCTACCTACGCAAGAAACTACTTGAAAGCTTTCTTTTTTAGGCCATTTTTGCTATGGTTTCAAAGGACTCTGCCAACGCTACAAACCACTCTCCTGATAACTGTGGGTGGTAGCCCCGACTTACCAGCATAAGTTGGCTGATTTACATTTCCACCTTTTTTAATACAATGATGAACAAGGTTAAAATTGTTTAGGAGAGCAGCCTTATACAGTAAGTTCTCTCCAAAAATGTTTTTCCGATTAATACGAGAAAGAGAAATCTTTTTTATCTTCTTTTTTTCTGAAATGAAAGAATAAACAAAGCAAAACAAAATAAAGAAATCCTTATTTGAAAATCAAGAGGTACAAAAGTAACAGGTGAGTCCAGTCAGCACTCTGGACATAAGGTATATTAGATCATGAAAGAGGATCTCCTTCATTGCCCTAACTCTCTGGTATCTATATATGCAAATATTATGTAATATAATCTGTCTCTTTCAAAAACAATTGTAGTAAATTATGAATCATGATAAACCCCATGAAAAGTATATAAGTAAAATAACTAACATTATTTTCCTTAAAACTTCTGGTGAAAAGTATTACTAAGATCTAGAAATTTAATAAAATGGTATAGTATCAAAATGTCTTATAAAATCACAAGGAGAAACCTGTCAGTTTATAAAGAACATACAAAAATTAACTCTCAGCAAGACCACAAAGGGAATGGTGAATTTCCCTCCTGTTATAGGTATTTGTTATGAAATTGAATAAAGTGTCATGACCTCCATCTGTATATTAGTTTTGGTTTCCTAAGCCAGGAAATGCATGATTATACTAAATTTTTCCCAAATCACACCTACTACGTGTCAATTCTCCACTTCACTTCCCAGAACACTGAGACTTCTCATTTAGAAGCTCCATAGCTTGTCAATTTTAAGGAATGTTGCTTGTTTGGCTAATTTGAATTTCAGAACAGCTTTGATAAATAGCTCTTCTAATTGTGATGGAGATAATCTGCCTTATCCTATACTCTCACAAAGCTAATGGAAAACTGCGGAAACTTTCTTAATGGACCACAACTGAACTACTTTTTAGCCTTTTACTTAACTTCCATTCAGTCCCGCTGTAAAAAAAAAAATCACCTGTTGGACTTTCAGTCTACCTTCTCCCACCCCAGGCTACAGAATATTCTGTTCCCATTCAAAGTATCTATAGTCTTTTTTCCCTAAATATGTCTGCACTACTTGTACTTACTATGTAATTTATTAAAATTAAAATTTAAGCATAAAATGCAAAATTTTATCATGAAACCTAAGTGGCAGAAGACATTCGCCTCAAGCTAGGACTAAGTAACTGTCCTGAATTGATCTCCCACTACAAACAACTAGAACACTGTGCAAGCTGGACCAGGGAGAAAAGCCCTGTTTTCAAATACTGGAAAACAAACATTTGGGTCTCTGGACCTTGAGTGAAGGGAAACAGAGGAGGGGAGCCCTATGACCACCCCAGCTTTCCGGCTGCACGTTCCAGACTACGGCACACAGAGGCAGGACCCAAGCAGAGCAACTGGATCTGGGTGACCCGAGGGTTTGGGTCGTAGTGGTGGCTAAAATTCATAGAGGGCAGGGCACCGCAGGCAAGAGAATAAAGAAGCACTAAAAATGTATGTAAAAGGCTCCTGGAGTAATTATCGACATATTAAAAATCCTCAAGTCTTCATGAGGAAGGCAAAATCAACCACGGAGGAAGTATCAATTATAGGATCAAGTCCCAGTTGTGCAATTAGCAAGCTGTGTGACATTGCAAAATATCCATAATCATTCATAAATGGAGAAAGTAATCATCAGTAAATTGAGAAAGTTGAGATAGGGTACCCTTTTGAATCCTTTCTAGTGCAGACTATGTTTCTGTAAACTTTACATCAGTAGAGAAGCAATCAAAATATGCCTCACCAGTTTTCATTGCAAATTTGTTTCTCCAGATCTGGTGTCCACTCTTGAGTCTAAGTGAATGCACACTCTTTGCTTTGCCTTCAGTCCTTACGGCAGCATCCTGCAAGCTTCAACAGCAACTGTTTTTAAAATTCTTACAATTTTCTCTACAAACTTTCATGGAAAATACCAAATATTAGCTAACATTTTAGAACTCAAAGATATACTGAACTGCTTTCCTGAGGAATGGGTGTCTGAAACACAGAGATGGCTCCTGAGGTAAGTGGCAGGTGTGCCGATCATTATGGCACCTTGGGTTTCTCACCTCGAGGACAGTCCTGTATAAGCATGAGTATTTTGAGTCTCCCACCATTGTACCCCCAACACAAGATAACACGCCCTACCCACTCCATGTATCGCTAAGATATGGGTGGGGAATATTTGGTCTGCAGGCCATATAAGGCTCTCCAAATCATCAATACCAGCTAACCACATGCCTCACCAAAGAGGAGCAGTTCTAGCCATCAAAATACGGTTGAATTGATTGAATGTTTGACCAGTGTGACTCATAAATGATGCTATATACACCCAAAAGGCCCTTGGCACGAAAAGCGTTCCCCACCTCTGTCCTAGGGGAAAATGAGGCAAGCTCTTTTCAAAGAGAAAGAGTTTTGATATGTAATGTGGCCCTGATTAAAAACACAGTAGTAAATAAAGCATCTCAAACCCAAAAAGTTCCTGGGTGGCACAAACAGGAGCTGGACTACTAACCCAAAGATAAGGGAGCTCCAACCAAGCAGGAGGTACCTTAGAAGAAAGGTCTGGTTACCTGGTTCAAAAGGCCACATCCTTGAAAGCCCTTAGGAAGTACTGTTCTACCTTGCACACATGGGGTCGTCATGGACAAAACCAACTCCATGGCAACTGGCTTGGTTTTGATACACTAACCACGTGTCTCCAGACACATATGGGTCCATGTGGACATTAGCATTATCTGGGCAAAGAGACTTGTTTCAATGACATACCTGGAAGTCTTAGCCAAAGATTTGTTATTTGTCTGATGCTTATGGCTATGTACATTTGGTAAGATTTTTTCTGGCTTATTGTACACATCATTTTTGTGTTTTCCAGCTTTTTTTACTTTGCGTTTTTTCAGTCTCAAAGATCTCCTTAGTACACATGGAATTTCTGGATCAGAGTTATTTTCCAATGGATTAGAATCCTCCTGATTATTTAGTTGATCACAAGAGGTGACATTTTGTTGTACCAAAGTTTGCAGTCCAAATGAAGCTGGGCTTTCTGTAGTCTGGAATAAGATGCAAATACATTTACAAACAATTACAACACTTGCTAAAAAAAGTAAAACTAGAGGAAATTAAGTATTTTCTGATACTTTTATTGCAGGTAAATGCCTCTTATAAGATGAAAGTATAACGTTTCATAGACATAGGTGAATACAATAAAAAATTAGAATGTACTAAGAATGTAAGCCAAAAATGACTTTCATCAGTATTCTTGTCTAAAATTCAAGGGCAAAACTAAGGTTACTGTGGGTATTTAAATTTCTAGAGAATGCTGGGAGATCCATAAAAACCTGTATAAAATGGCTTACGTGCAAGATCAATGGTCTATTTACGCTGGTATTTTGGTACTGACAGCAGCAGTAAGTGATCATTTTGTAGGACAAGATGGTACATAACCTCTACAGTATTGATTTTAAAAGGTTAACAGTATATTATGACTGGTTCTGACTTTCCCCTTAATAATCTATTATAGACCTAAGTTCCATAGAGGATCTTTATTTTTTATACATATCATCTAATTCTTTCCTGTGCTAATTTACAGGTTCAGATTAAAATGCTTCTCAAGCAGTAAGTTCTATATTTTACTGTTGTTCTCACGGTTAGATGTCATCTACTTTGAAATGAGCATGGTTTTCTTTCCTCCTTTTTTTTAGGGTTTGCCACGTTTGAGCTCAGTCTGGCCATACCAACTGTAATTTCCTATAATTTACTCCTATTTCCTCTTTACAGATCAAAACATTAAAATGCTTAACCTATTTTCATGCCTTATCCCTTTGATAAGGCGCCTTGGTGGCACTGTGGATTAGGCATTGGGTGGTTCAAAGCCCCAGTGGGTCCACAAGAAAAGGCTGGCTATTCCTGTACAGATCTAGTCCTGGAAACCCTACCTAGGGTTGCCGTGAGTCAGAATCAACTCAATGGCAATGGGTTTGCTTTCTGTAGTATGTCCTCATGATCAGTTCACTTCTATTTTTCTGGGTTTATGTTTAGCTCTATTATGTCTGTTATAAATTAGAATCAAGTTGGTGGCAGTGGATTTGGCTTTTATCTGCTTTGGGACCATATGGAGTGTTAATCCAAGTGTGTATGTTACAGGAGTATGAGCTCACCATTATGTCATCTAAGTCTTCACAGGGGTGTACATAGGAGCATTTTGGTAATTACCAAAAGAAAAAAAACTACCCAAGTGACTGCTGTTAATGTATTGGTTAAGTAAACTATAACAAATCCATACAAGCCAACAAGAAAGTCATCCTGCCCCACAGGATTTCTGGCTCTATGAGTAAGACTGACTTCCATGTCAATGCGTTTGTTCAGTTCGTTCATCTTTAAGAGAAGCAGACTGCCATGCCACATAGTTCTCCTGTTGAGTGGCTGGTGGTTTCAAACTGTCACCTTCCAGTTAGCAGCCTAGTGATTACCCAGTGTGCCACCAGAGTCCCTATGAAGTAGAATACTATTCAGCAACTTAAAACATTTGAGCAGTGTTATAGGGTGCAATATATATTGGAATCAATTTGATGTCAGTGGGTCTGATTTGGGGTTTATAGTTGCTTACATGGAAAAATAACTAAGACATACTATTAAATTTTAAGGCAAGTTGCAAAGCATTATGTGTACTATAATCACAATTTGTATAAAATTGTGTACATATTCTATGTACACGAAAACCTGGTGACTGATGCACCAAGCTGTTCTCATGCCTATGTCTGGAGAGTTGAATTGGGAAAGGCTGTTTTGTACATTATTATGTAATACTCTAATACTTGAAAATTTTAATAATGATTATTGTAATGAAGAAAAACAATAGAGGTTATATTTTTTAAGGGGAAAAAGGTCCATCTGAAAAAGGCATGTGGTAGGGCTTCCAGGCATAACAGTGCAGGAATTCTAAACTCAGGGACTGTGCTACTTGGAAGTGTCCTCAAACACAGAAGGAAATTTTTTCCTTAAGCAGCATAATTTCCCTGCCCAGAGAGGCCAACTGCACTAACTGGAAGTTCATCTGGGGTATCCCATCTCTATTCTGCAGTCAGTGATTTTCTGAAAAGGGAAATTTCTAAAAACTCCTTTCATGCCTATGTATAAGCAAGCTGGATCCAACTTGACACCAATGGGTTTGGTTTTGTGGCTACTGATTTGTTTTCTTAGCTCTGTTGGAAAGAAGCTTAACCCCCTTTTAAATTTACTTTTAACTTTTATTGTGGAAACCTATCCATTTGAAGTCCCTGGCAATGTCGTGATTAAAGTATTCAGTTGTAAACCAAAAGGTCAGTGGTTTGAACCCACCAGTCATTCCTGGGAGAAAGATTTAGTAGTCTGGATCCATAAAGATCTGCAACCATGGGAACCCTATGGCGCAGTTCTGTTCTGTCCTATAGTGGTGTTATGAATTGGAATGGACTCGATGGCATTGAGTTTGCCTTGCGGGTCTAGACCTTTTAGAAACTCTACCCCAGGAAGCACACAAAAGATCCCTGAATGGTTCGAAGTCAGGAAGAATCTGCTGAGTTTGGGGGCACTGATTGAAGAGCTGAAAAAGGTTAAGATGTGAGCTACAAAAGACTCAGACTTGCACTTACTTGCTGCATTGATAGATGCTTGTCCTGTAGCTCAGCTGCCTTGGAATCTTGTTCAAATGGTAGAGTGGGACAAAAAGACTCAAAATCCCCCTCTGCGATTTGTGTGCAATCTTCATCAGTCTGAGACATACTGGATGCCACTGCTAGACATTCATTTCCATCACTGAGACTACTGCCTCCCTCTTTTCTGTGACAGACGGGTCCCACCGTGGCTTCTGACAATATATTAAGGGCTGCCAACAACTCAGCTGGCAATGCGCCATCCTCTTGGTTTTCTAGGTCATCTCTGTGGTATTCCCACCAGGCATTCAAGGTAGTCTGTGTGGAACTCAGGGAGTCACTCAATGGGTTCATCAAGTCTATGGGTTCAAAAGTATTCATTATTGGACATTCTCTTTCCTCCTTGTTGCTTTCTGGTAAATTTTCTAAGGAAGATACAAACGTTTCACAAGAGCTTTCTTCATCTTTGGTAGTTTCAGAAGTTATAGAAAACGTGACTTTCTTTCCAGGCTCAGAAAATGTATTTTGTGCTGTACTCCCCTTTGTTTCCATTAGTGGCATCTCTTTCACAGCAAACAGACCGGGCATTTTACCAGTGGTACCTGAGAGAAGGCTAATTACAGGAGAGTTGCTATCTTCATTTACAGCCTGTGTATTCCAAATAGAAAGTCTATTATTATATATACACAACAAAAAGTTTACAGTTTTGTGATTTATTTTATGGTTAAGTTCTCCCCCAAAGTTTTCTCAACTTCCTGCTCCTCCCATAAGCAAAAACAATACTCTATCACTTTCCTATAGCAACAACCAATCACTAACAACTCTGAGCATGTAAGTAAATATTTAATAAACGACTAAGGGTAACATTTGCTAGAATACAGATGGCAAATTATTTATTTGGCTAAATTTAAATTGCTCATGTTAAGAGACAGGGATGGCATGGATAGTTAATTAACAAATGATATCAAAACCTCACTATCATTAATGGTTAAACATTTCCCCCTTTCTAGACATTTCTTCTGAGTTTTATAAAAATGGACAGAATTAAAATGTGGATCATTTCCTATTCTTTTTAACCCCTACCTTTTTATGAATATGTAAATGGGAAGTAAAGAGGGCAAAAGACAGAAGTGAAAGAGAAAAGGGAAGCGAGAGGAAGGCACAGTTCTATATAAATTCTGTTAAGTCCTATCATATAAATCCGGTGGTAGTTTGTTTTAAACAAAAACAAACCAGAAAAGTTATACTGTTAGATGACAATTATGTTTTTAAAGCCAAGACTGTTCTGTCTCATAATGTTTCCAGGGTTCAAAATATTATTGGGATTCCTTTGTTGAAGTTGTTTCAAAATCTGTATCAGAACACCTGTGTTGTCATTTGTAAGCCCGGTAGATTCTGCTTTAGGCTGAGTAGTGAAATGAAAACCACTTATTCTCTGCCCCTCCTTCTCCAACGCTACCTCACTATCTTCACTCTATAATGCTCACAGTTTAGAATTAGGTATTTATTAGTAATACAAACTATAATGTGCTTAGAAAAATAAAGGTTGGGAGACTTCCGGGAAGATGGTGCCCATGTAGAATCACCTGTTCTGCGCTCCCATTCTTAAGACCAGAAAATCAAGAAGTAAGGAAGCCAACCCTGGGAATACAGGTGCTAGAAGTAGAATCCTAGTAGCCTAGGATGCGTGGTTCAGACCTCCCTTCTGATATTCACCCATGGAATGACTTTAACTTCACCCCACCTGCCCTAGGGTTCTCCCCATCCCCACCAGGACCCCAGAAGGCTGGAGTCCACCAACCCACCTTCATTCTAGATCCTCAACCCACCAGTACAGTGTACTATCCCTAGACAAGACTGTTGTCCAAGAGTGGGTCACAATTCCACACCCCAAGGAGAGCCTCCAAAAGCCAGCCCCAAGAGCTAATCCCAGCGGTTCCCTCCCTGCAAGTCAATTAACAAGCTTTACCCCTCCCCTGCCAGGACCAACGGGCTGGCTTCGGCCCTTCTCTTCACTCTAGTTCCACATGTAGCCTGCCAGCATAGCATAATAAAAGTTAAGTTGACACAAATTTACTAAAATCAGAGAGCAGCGACATCTGCCTATTAGAAGCCCCTGGGTCATTTCCCTCAGCATTGGGCCATCACAGATCCCCAGTTCTGTGGAGAGAAGTTGCCTGGGGTGAAGGAGAAGCAGAAAGACAGGAACGTAGTTCTAGGGTATCAGGTTGAGGCTGGATAAAACCAGAAATAGATTAGACCTTCCATCCAGACCAGAAGAACCCCACAGACCCAGGTTCCCCAACAGTGAGGATAACACAGTCTATGTGGGGGTGAGTCGACAGGGCAGCTGAGAGCAGGTATAGTGGAGAATGCAAACCCAGTGAGCCCTAGACCCACTCCACCAATCTTCTCCCCTTTCCCTGTTGGGCAGTGCAGCGCAGCCCCTGTACCAGGACACCTTAAAACCCTTTAAATTTTTTTTTAAAAACCCAACAACACGGCTTTCCTTTGTTTGCATCTTTAACACCTCTGGATTCTTTAACTTCTTAAGCACACTCCTGGTTCATTAGAAAAGTTTTAACATAACAAAGCAGAGAAAAACCACCAGATTTTACAAGGAACACCTTCGGTTAGGTAGCTAGTTCAGGGACAGGGGGTTGTGGATTCCATGCCTGCAAAAGCCCCCATAAAGTAGGTTGGGAAGAACTCAGATGACCATTAGACACCTACGAGGGACACCGTAACTGAACATACTCAAATTCAAGCCCCCAAGACGTGGGAAGTACACCTGGGCGGTCCAAACTAGGCCCAGGCCATCATATCATCCAGGTGGGCTTAACACAGACAATGGGGCCAACCAATACCTTCAACCAAACCTCCCCCAGCCTAGGGGTGGACCAAAATAAAGGCAGGAAGCACACTCCGGGACTTTCTCTTACGCTCTCTTTCCTTGTGCTCTCTTGTGTCCCACACTCTCTCTGGCCCCAGTCCTCTTGCCTTTCTCCCTCAACCCCTCAGTCCCGGGGATCCCTTCCCCAGTTCCACACTTGTGGGTGTGCTGTTTCAAGAGGTTTCTTGTGACTAGCTGTGAGCCCCAGCACAGCTTCCACACCACCCGGCATGCTTCCCTGAAAGAGTGTGTACGCTTTCGAGACTATAAAACCTGAAACTTCTCCGATCATTCATAAAAACCCACTAGGATTACAAAACGGGCTGCAGCATGAATTCTTTCATCATGCGAAGCCAAGAACCGAGGTATTACTCACTTGAGAAACTTTACATTTCTGCTACAAGCAAGATTTAGGACTTCCTGGAGGATGTTGCTGATATAGGGACACCCCTCTGTAGTTCCCTGGGAATAATCACTGAATCTGTGGGGGAGGATACCGATTTGGGGGATCCAAACTGAGGACCCTGGAGAACTTTTGGCAGTTTCCCTGAAAACGGCACAGCTATACTCACCACGACACATGCCCCTGAGTTTCCTTGCACCTGAGACCTGTGCACCATGATACCTATTGTTTCCCAGAACCATCAACATACTGCACAGGGACCACAGCACCATGTTTCCCTGTGATACCTCCCTAAACACACACACACACACACACACACACACACACACACACAAAGTGTTGCAGTCCCCTATGTTTCCCACCCTGACAACCAGTGCACCTCAAACCCTTAAGTTGTTCCCTACCCCTTGCCAATGCCCATGCACATCATTCAAGATCCAGCCCGCACCTCAACACTGGAGGAGACCCAAGATAGTCTGCCCATCTAGGGTAAGACAAAGATATCCACACGGATTTCTGGAGGCCCTGGTTGCTGGAGACCCCTGCATCCAGCAGATCTGAATCGCAGTAGGGACAATCTCATTGCTGAGCCCCTGCATAGTCCTCTAATTGCATGGGTGCAACTTGGCCCTCCTGATAGATAACACAGCTTTCAAATTCAGCCCCAGTGAGACAGAGACCCTGCTCGAACCTGCACCATAGCTGGCTCCAGGTAGTTGTTAGACTTAACTTCTGAGAAAGAGGACAAAGGATTCCTTTCATCACACGAGGAATGGGAACTCAGAACTTCAGGGTTACTTGGCAACCTTCCCCACCCCTGACAAGAGGGTCAGCAAACATGAGTCTCACTGACATTAGCCAGATCACCTTCTAATCAGAACCGCCTCCTTCCCCGATCACTAACTATAATAGCCTATATCCACCCTGGGGCCACACATAAGGAGCAAAGAATTCTGTGTTACGCAGCAATCTACTATAAAGGTGTCTTCTGTTATAATCACAAATAATAGAAGGACAACACTCTCCCTTTCAAAATTTCCAGGCCAAAAAGGAACTCTGGTAGATTTAATATAACCCGCAGCGACCCAACCCCCACAACTTTAGAACCTGCTTGCTACACCTCAATAATAGCCATTCCCGCTACCTTACCAATTAAAAATGTATCTCCCATAACCCTTTTCATCAACTCATTAAAAATTAGCACACTTAACAGGAAGACTTCCTAAGATTAATACTATCCTGTTTCCCCGAAAATAAGACAGTGTATTATGTTAATTTTTGCTCCCAAAGATGCACTAGGTCTTATTTTCAGGGGATGTCTTATTTTTCCATGAACAAGAATACGGTACA